GGGGGGGTTGAACAGCAGTGGTACGTGGATGGTTCGCTCAATTTTGTGCAGGGGTTGGATGTGTGCAGAGGGTGGCGATGGGTCGCCAACTCTCCGTCTCGGGAGATGCTCCTAGCGTCTGCGGTGCTCTGTATTGCGTGCTTCTAGAAAGCACACGCTGTACATGCAGCACCACTCACCTCGGATCAGAGCAGCAGCAGATGGGAGACGACAAGTGCGTATTGTTTTCTTCGGTCTACATGTTTGGATGGATCGGACCGGAGAAGGTTGTAGGCGGGCGGGGGCGTCGGATTTGTGATTGTCGACGGTATATGCCACTACGGTGGTAGACTTGGACAAGGGTTGTGGACACGCACAGATTTCTTGATGGGTGTCTGCTTCGTGGTGATGGGCATTCGGGGAGCTTGCTGACAAGAAGAGGAAGGCACAAACACGTACTACGTGTGTTCTCATCCACAGTTTCGAGTGTTCCACCTTAGGGAGCGACGTATCCCGGCGTCCGTGTTTATTAACACTCACATCCCAACACAGAATTGTCTTGACCGGGAATACTCAAGTGTCTGCCTGAACAAAACACACAAAATGCCAAACTTTAAGACGCTTTGTCCAACAAATACGGTAGCTAATAAAGACGCTCAACCCACTCTTCGCTGTAGACGCAAATAAGTTGCACCGATGGTGGCGCCACGCCGAACGATCCCTTTTATGTAACCCGTGAACATGATTTGTCCAACAAATACGGTAGCTAATAAAGACGCAAAAACAATGAAAGGAAATCGATCACGGTGTCTGTCACACAGGCGACGGGCGAGTATAGCTTGGCTCTACCGCCGGGCATTGCGCCCGCAGAGCACAAACCAAGAACCACACACCAGCCCTCGACGCCGGCAATTCTTTTGTGACATTTACAAAAAACACGGGGCGATCAAAGTGACTCCACGGAAATCGTATAGCTATAATGTAGAAAAGTTGATATGTACACTCCTAGCACTGCTGCTGCTCCCAAGCCCACCCCGCCGATCGCTTTCTGTTTCATCACCAAGAATGGATTAAGAGGCTTCCATCTGGTCGCCGCCAGTTGTCCCTTGTACGCTGTACGGTCTCCTGGAATGCTGTTCTAGTGTCCTGGTTCTGGCTATGCCTCCTTCTTATCGACATCGTCGTCGTCGTTGTCGTCGTCCTCTTCTTCCCATTCATCGCCCACGCCCCAGTCGAGGTCAACGTCCAACGCATCGAGGCCCCTGCGACACGAAGGCAAAGCAAGAAGAAGGCACAACAACCAAAACAAAAAAAACGTTTGAAACTACACGCGAACCTCGCAAACTACAATCGACGGGCACCAGCTTCAGACAAGTGTGGGTTCTGTCTCACGAGAGCAAAAAACATATCGTCCCTATCAACGGCACAGACCAGGTTTAGAACCGGTCTCGCGTTTGCAATGTCGGTCAGTTCGGCGATAAAAACCCGATGATTTACATCCCGGCACTGCACCATGAGTCCCAACCCACAAGAACTGTTGGCCATCGATGATCGATCCTGTGGGAACAATGGCCAGTCCTCTCGAGGGCGCGTAGTGAATGGTCTACCAACTAAGGCATGCAAAACATAAGAGTACGTCCCCCCCCGCACCACGTTGTGTTAAATGGTCAAGCATCCTCGAGGCAGTTACACAGTGCTTACAACTGATGTCTCTCGAAGTGAAAGCACCAGAAAATAAATTAAGTCATACGCAGCTGTCATCCGTACGCAAGGAAGTAAGCAAAAGATGCCGAACACCCTTAGCAGGGTGCAGCGCACCCTTCATGCGACTCGCCGAATACCTCACGGCGCTTCGCGTTCGGTGATGTGAGAGCCTGGTCCGGTGAGAACCCGGCGTGCTCCGTCCCGGCTTTGTAGGGATGCGAGGTCAATGGTCTAACGACTACGGCATGCTCGACTATGAGTACACCCCTCCCCCCCACACAGGAATCCCCGCCCAGGACTCACTTGCGCATCTCCTCAAGCCCCGAGACCTCCTCCAACACGCTCGGGGATTGGCAAGCCCTCTCCACGAAGCCCCAGCCCTGGGACCTGTGCGCCGCTACCACCGGCTTGGAGCACGCCGTGCAGCGGTCAAAGGCTAGCGCGGACGGCGTGACGGTGGTGAAGCTCGCGATGAAGCCACGGACCTGTGTGTGTGTGTTTTTTTTATTATTATTAGCATAGACCGCGCTAACCGGCTGACCAATGAAAATACGTCAGTCTCAGTGCGGTTTAAAACACAAAACACTTCTAAATGCCATTCACTTGGTACCCCGTGAGGGGGCGGCATGGGGCACACTAATCTATTCTCCGGATCAAAGACAGAAACAGTAGCAGCAGATGAAAACTGGACACCTCTACGAATGTGTGTGTGTGTGTGTGCCCCGCAGGTGCGTTCGATCGGTGTGGGCAAGAGAGGAGGAGAGGGATGTACTCATGCCCAAGTCGTTACACAATTGACCTTGCATCCCTATAGTGCCGGGACGGAGCGATGTCCAGGGTTTTCGCCGGCCCAGGCTGTATCCAATTACGTTTCACAACAATAAACCAAGCGCTTGACGTTGCCCTTGCGTTTGTTGTGCCATGCCAGATATGACATGGGGGGAGGGGGTTGAGGACACGATCATATCCATCAAGGCGCGCATAAGGCAAAAAACTGCTCGTGCACACATATTCACGGCGGTTGGGGTCACAGAAGGAAGGTATACGTGCGAATTGCACCCGTCGTACGATGTAGATCTGGTCTCTCGACGACCAAAAGAAAAACTCCTTTTCGTACGGATGGAGCCCGGTTGGTGTTTTTGGGTCCAGACTGCTCTACCAAATCAGCCGTAGAGTCTTGAGCCCGCAGGTGAAAAATGTCAACAGAAAGCAGACACATTTCCAACATTCTACTTTCGTTGCCGCAAGGACGGGGCAGTTTTGGTGCGGAAGGGGAGGCGGGGGGGTGTACACATAGTAGTGCATGCCGTAGTCGTTAGACCATTGACCTAGCATCCCTACAAATCCGCGGGGGGGGGGGGGGGGGGGGGCAAA